CTTCGGTGATGTTTCCTCTTCATAAGATGCTTCAAATCTTACCTTTATGCTGTCCTTGATGGGTGTGTGTGTGGCGCTTTACTTCGGGATACTTCAATGCTGTTACCTCTTCATAGGATGCCTCAAATCTTGTCTCTATGCTGTCCTTGATGAGTGTGCGTGTGGCGCTTCACTTCGGGACACTTCGGTGATGTTTCCTCTTCATAAGATGCTTCAAATCTTACCTTTATGCTGTCCTTGATGAGTGTGTGTGTGGCGCTTCACTTCAGGATACTTCGGTGATGTTTCCTCTTCATAAGATGCTTCAAATCTTGCCTTTATGCTGTCCTTGATGAGTGTGTGTGTGGCGCTTCACTTCAGGATACTTCGGTGATGTTTCCTCTTCATAAGATGCTTCAAATCTTACCTTTATGTTGTCCTTGATGGGTGTGTGTGTGGCGCTTTACTTCGGGATACTTTAGTGATGTTACCTCTTCATAGGATGGCTCAAATCTTCCCTTTATGCTGTTCTTGATGAGTGTGCGTATGGCGCTTCATCCCGGGGTACCTCGGTGAGCATTCCTCTAGGGTAGATGTTGTCAATCTTGTCCGTTTGCTATTCTATGTGCATGAGTAGGCTGCTGTTTACCCGGTGGTACTTTGTTGTTCAAACCCCGGGGTAGGGTGCTGTTTGCATGGGTAGGTTGTTGTTCACCCGGTGGTACTTCATTGTTCAACCCCCGGGGCAGGGTGCTGTTCGCATTATCCGTTTGCTGTTCGTTGTGCATGGGTAGGTTGCTGCTGACCCGGTGGTGCTTCGCTGTTCAACCCCCGGGGTGGGGTGTTGTCCACATTGTCAGTTTGTTGTTCTATGTACATGAGTAGGGTGCTGCCGACCCGGCAGTGCTTCGCTGTTCAATCCCCGCGTAGGGTGTTGTTCACATTGCCGTTTTGCGGCTCTAAATGCTTGGGAAAGTGTCGACGGATCACTTCTTGTTGCTTCCTCTCTTGGGAATCTACGGTTCTGAAAAGAGTGTCTTCACTATTGCAAGGGGGCACGAGAGGCCAAAACCAACGACCTACGAGAAAAGGCATAAGGGGTAGGGAGGTGGGCGGTAGAATAGGATCGGTCGCGGACCACGGGACAAGCAAGCCATCACCCACATCCGTCCACCATAGCCGACCTCTCCCAACCTTTCTTCTTCCTCCACCACCCACACTCGTCCACCATAGCCAACCACCCCCAACCCTTCTTCCTCCTCCATCACCCACGCCCATCTACCATAGCCAACCACCCCTAACCCTTCTTCCTCCTCCATCACCCGCGCCCATCCACCATAGCCAATCGCCCTCAACCCTTCTTCTTCCTCCATCACCCACGCCCGCCCTCCATAGCCGACCACCTCCAACCCTTCTTCTTCCTCCATCCCCCACACCCGTCCACCATAGTCAACCGCCCCCAACCCTTCCTCTTCCTTCATCACCCACACCCGTCCACCATAGCCGACCACCCCCAACCCTTCTTCTTCCTCCATCACCCACACCCGTCCACCATAGCCAGCCAACCCCGACCTTTCTTCTTCCTCCATCACCCACACCGGTCCACCATAGTCGACCACCTCCAACCCTCCTTCTTCCTCCATCACCCACACCGGTCCACCATAGCCGACCACCTCCAACCCTCCTTCCTCCATCACCCACAGCGGTCCACCATAGCCAACCACCTCCAACCCTCCTTCCTCCATCACCCACACTGGTCCACCATAGCCGACCACCTCCAACCCTCCTTCCTCCTCCATCACCCACAACCGTCCACCATAACCGACCACCTCCAACCCTTCTTCTTCCTCGATCACCCACATCCATCCACCATAGCCAACCACCTCCAACCCTTCTTCTTCCTTCATCACCCATACCCGTCCACCATAGTCGACCACCTCCAACCCTCCTTCTTCCTCCATCACCCACACCCGTCCACCATAGCCAACCACCTCCACTTCATTTATCACCCACACCCGTCCACCATAGCCGACCACCCCCAACCCTTCATCTTCCTCCATCACCCACACCCATCCACCATAGCCGACCGCCCCCAACCCTCCTTCCTCCTCCATCACCCACACCCGTCCACCGTAGCCAACCACCCCCAACCCTTCTTCCTCCTCCGTCACCCACACCCGTCCACCATAGCCAACTCCCCTCTACCCTTCTTCCTCCTCCATCACCCACACTCGTCCACAATAGCCGACTTCCCTCTACCCTTCTTCCTCCTCCATCACCCACACCCGTCCACCATAGCCGACCACTCCCAACCCTTCTTCCTCCTCCGTCACCCACACCCGTCCACCATAGCCGACCACTCCCAACCCT